ATAAATCTGATTTACCTTCGGCTGTGCCAATGTATGTTTATTCCTCATTTGAGGGTGGCCTTTTGATGAGAAGCCATCTCTGGACAATTCTTTTTCCATTTTCTATATAAACCCTTTTTTTGGGCAATATTATTTTTTTATTGTCAGTATAATTCTTCTCCTCAGCAACGCCTTTGATTCTGGGAGGCTTGGGACTAATTGGGATGTAGTTGAAAAACTAGTTTAACTGGTTAGTGTTGTCGTAATGTCATTCAGTAGAGTCTCAACATATACCGGGTTAAAAAAAGGCTGCCTGCATCCCACGAGTGAATAGAAAGTTGGACCTACATTGGAGCCCACCAGAATCGCCCCACATATCCTCCTGAGTAGAAGTTTGGTTTCAAACCCAAAGAGAAGTACGCCATGCTTATGTGCTTTGATGATCCACATTCATCAAAGGAACAAAAAGCAATACACAAAGATGGCTGGTTCATCAAACGAACAAAATTTGAAAAAAAATATAACACAATAATATGTTGCTGCCCAGGATCGAACTGGAGACCTTCAGTGTGTAAGACTGACGTGATAACCACTACACCACAGCAACTGATTGTCAATAAGTAAGTTTAAAATGTTAAATATTGGATTCCCAGTAAAATATCGAAATATAAATGATTAAAATAAAATCCAAAGAGCAATTAATTAAAATATAAAAAACATAAACTTGTTGCTGCCCAGGATCGAACTGGAGACCTTCAGTGTGTAAGACTGACGTGATAACCACTACACCACAGCAACCACTTGTTTATATTTTCTCAATTATAATATTAATAACTAAAGTGATTTTTGGCCCAGAGAAATTTGTTTAACCACACTCAAATTTCTTGGTTGCTTAACACAACGTTTACAGGCTCTTTGGGGCCTCATAACTGAGACTTTGCTGCATAAAGGCTCTCCATAACACAATGTTTATGTCTCTGACAGCCCTTATCGTTTTGTTCTGCACCCATGAGATTATTTATACCATGATTTGTTTTATATGGTCGTTTTATAGGTGAAAAGGAGAGGGAAGGAAGGAGGTATGAGAATAATGCATCCACTGCGCCTAGTCAAATACATTTTATAAGTGGATAATATGATAAGGTTTTATAATCGATACGGAGGGGGAATCGAAATTGAAACATCTTTTAATACAGGAAAAAAAAATACCACTAAATTAAGAACTAATTGGCAAATAATATGAATGGTTAATGTGATAATAAACATTTAATGTTACTTTTGTTATATATAAGTAATGAGCCATAACAAATTAGTTATTATTATTATTTTTTAGTACAAGCATGGAATAGAAGAGAGATTTCTCACATACACACAACTATGATGCCGTGGGAATTCAAACTTGAAATTTTTAGTTTGCAAGATAATACCCTTTTCTACTGAATTAGACCCCATTAACTAACAAATTGGTTATTTGTCTAGTTGAATTTATAATATTTCAAAACGTCATTGTCCATTAGTCAAATAGGTGGAGAACATAGCATTACATGTCATGTTAATCAGGCCAATCAATCAATTCAAAATTATTTATGGAAAGTTACTTTAGAACTCACTTTTATCTTTTCCAACTTCCTGAGATAAGGTGAAATAATTTATGATGTGAGACAGATGTAAAAAGTCTGTCACTGAAAAACTGAGAGTTCCTTGGCATCTTTCTTACTTCTAAGATTAGGCATCTTTACTCAACATGCCATTAAAAAAATCCCTGCCCCACCATTTTTGTCCACGCAATTAGCTTCTGCTTAGCATTCAAACAATACCTTTAAATTCATCAATATGAAAAGCATACCTCTTAAATAAAGGGTGTCATGCATCGATCCCTTCATCTCAAATTTTAAAGGCCCAACATGCAACATGGTCCCGTACAATGAATTTGAAATGAAACGTACTACACCATAGAAAGTAGCATACACAACTTTTTTTCTTTAACCAATTGAGAGTTGGATTTGTGACTTTTTCTCAGTTCGGCTTGAATTTGAATTAGATTAGGATTGAATTAAATCACTTTTTATAAAATTATGAGTCTGACTTCTCTCAATGAGACTTGTACGACATAATATATTGAATTATTATCCAATTTAATAATAAGTTCAGTTCAAGTATTTATAAATTCACCAAACAGCGATCATGCCATTAATCTAGTACAAATTTACCCACCAAACGAGAATATACATTTGATTTAATTTTTTTCATACATCATGTTTCACTTTGAACACCGCCTAAATTGTGGAGTTTCTATTCTAATAAAAAAATAGTAGATTACATTAATGAGCAGTTTTCAACTCTCTCCATTCAGCAACTACCATTAGTCCATGACCATGAAAAAACCTAACCCACCAAAATCTGTGAACCAGCTGCATAGTAGTGATTAGGTACTCAATATCTCACCAAACCAACTAATGACAACCACAAAAACAATCACCAAAAATCTCACGACTTAAGTGTCACACAAATGCAAGACCAAATAAACCCATTTTGGTTAATGATTTAGTTAAGTCCAATGTGATTAAAGTTTAATCAACAAGAATGGCCGGCAAATACCCATTTCTGGACAGTGTGACAGCTACCTTAATTAGAGTATTATTATTATTTATTTATTTAATTTTGTCTCTAAGCAAAGTACCCTTTTGGGGTGTCTTTGCTTTTGGTAGTTTGAGCTTGCATGCCATGCCATCGGATTGGAGGAGAGGAGCTGCCTGCTAGCCTGTGGTTTTTGTTCACTCACAGCCATACAGCTGTGTGGAGTTGGAGAGCACGCCACACTACTATTTCCATATATATATTTTTAAAGCGTACGACTTGAAGTGAAAACTGTCCACAGAAAAGTAGCCAAATTTTCAGAACATGCGAGCCAAAACTGACAAAACAAAACACTTCATTTTGAGTAGGACATGTATGAATGGATCAAAATATGTGTCAATATTTTGCTGTCGCATTGTGATTGGTGGTGGTTTTTTTTGAACTCTTTTTTGAGTGGTACTTGTTGTATATACTCAAAACTGCAAAGAGGTCGATTTCTTCACTTCCGTATACAAGAAAAGGACGTCCATATGAAGGATTACATGTCTAATTGGTAATCTAAAAAGATCATAGATTGACTTGGATTGGCATTTAGAGGGTACGTATGTGTGGCTTGAAAATTGGTACCAAATGCAAATATGCTTAGATTTAAAAGTTCATGTATTTTCGTTTCATAGTGTCTTTTTGGACCAACGAGATAGTAAAGAAGATTTGAAAATAATTGAGGCTTTTTTTAATATTAGGAAGAGAAATATAACTAGATGATTAGTTAATTGGTATTGTTATTTTTTTAATATAAACTAAAAGCAAGCCTTATTGACCTTGTTATTTTCTTCATAAACTATACCCCTACTCTAGATGATTGGCAGAGTAGCCAATAAGGAGAATCTTTTTATATAAGAAGGAAATTCACACCATTAATTAAGTTGGTTAGCTCTGGTTTTGAGCATATACTGAATAAATATAATGTGGAGAAGAATAATGGGAGAGGATATATGACAAGGTAACCTCCCCACTACATGTGCCAATGTCAATGATTATCTCCTCTCCCTCTCTCTAAGTGTGTATTTGGACATCTCAATTCCCACGCAATCTCTTTCACATGATTTACTTCCCACATTCACCTAAACGTGCACTTAGCAAACTCTCTTGCGAGTCAAGTAGTGTGAAAGTAACACTCTCTTTGAACCCATTTCAAGTCTCCCATTTTCATCCCTTTATATACAATCAAATCACAATCTTTAGTATTTCGATAACTGTTCGTTGATATCTGATTATTCGTGCATAGATAACTATTTGTTTATAAATTCGTGTGTGAATGATTGACCTGATCTTTGATAACATAAAACTTGATTAGTGATGGGTTACATTCTTGACAACGTGACACATATAGAAAAGGAAATTCTTTGACATAGTAGAGAAAAGGAATACTAAAGAGGAACTCTCAAATGATGACGGAGAAGAAATTGATTTGAAAGGCAGTGAGCTATCACAACAACAATGCGTGAGGGGATTGTGGGTCCAAATGAAGTAGAGTTCACAGTACAGTGGAGTGGAGCTTGGATAAGTTGAAGCTAGCCAAACCGAAAGTGTTTGTGGTATGAGTTAGAGTATCTTTCTAGGGAATATCAATGAATGTGGCATGGGGTGGACCCAAGAGAGAGAGAGAGAGAGAGAGAGAGAGAGAGGATGATGATGATGATTGATGATCTCAAATATAGCTAAAGTGACTTGCAAAGTAAGGGATCATACATACACAGCAGTTGGGTAAATTAGGTACAACTGTTAGAGAGAGTGTTTATATGTCAGGCTTGGAACTAAAAAAACTTGATGAGGTGGACCATAAAATTAAAATAATAAAAATATTGTTTTATTATTATATTTAAGCTAAAATTGAAAAAGAAATGAGAGTGAGAGAGAAAGATACAGGTGGATACATGTGGCATGGCAGTTGCCAACTCTGCTTTGCTATCCATTACTTCTTGTCATTTAATGAAACAGACTGGGAATTGAGAGGGAGAGCTTTTATAGGCTTTTTTTTAGCTTTATTGTAATAAAAATACACACCAAGGAGAGGAAGAACCTAATCCATGACTTTTGGTTGTGGTGGTGGTGGTGCCTAACCCTAGCCCTTTTGCCATCCCATGCCACCACATTGCCTTGCCCTCACTCTCTCACTCCCCACACACACACACACACACACTCTCTCTCTCTCTATCTCTCTCTCTCTCTCTCTCTTGGTGTTATGTGCATAGCTCTCCCACTTAAAAAGAACATAGAAAAAGAAAGGAAAATTGTAAAAAGGAAAAGATGCCTCATCACTCACTTTTCGTGAATGAAAGGCAACCATGAACACTAACCACTTACTTACTCAAAGTATTCACACTTCAACAAATTAGATGAACCAACAAAAATAAATAAACAACAAATTAAAGTGGAAAGAATTGATCAAAGAATTAATATTCCACAATTATACCAATTGACAGTAAGTAATTAATTGAAAAATAATGCTTATAATTCACATTGATAATCTAGTAATTAAGAATGATTTTTTTTTTTTTTTTACTCACTCCATCTCTCTCTCTCTCTCTCTCTCTTAATAATGACAATCCACCAAAGCAGGGGCGTTGAAGACAAGAGTTGTTTGTTGGGTAGGCACAAATTGAAACTTAGAGTCACGATGTTGATGATGATGATGAAGCTGGTGGTGATGATGATCATTGTCTTCTGGTGCAGGAAGGTTTAGATCCAGTGGAAGAACAGTTCTCTGGAGTTTGGTACTTGTGCCAATATTGCTAGGCAAAGCCACCACATGATTAGTACTGTTGTTGGCTGCTGCTGCTGCTGCTCTGTGCCTTCTCATGTGTCCACCAAGAGCTTGCCCAGATGTGAACTCAGAGCCACAAATTGAACACTCATGAATTTTGGGCTTGCTTCCTATTTGGCTTGAAATCGCAGGAGGTGGGCTGCTCTTATATTTGATGAACTGCTTGCTTTGATCTTCAAATTCCTCAAAAGGGGAGGCTGGGATGAAATGGGCTGGTGCTGGTTTTTTCTCCTCTGTGCTCATGGCCTTGGGCTTCTTGTGACTTGCTCTGTGGCCGCCAAGTGCTTGAAATGAAGGGAAGCTTCTGTTACATGTTTTGCACTCATAGACAAAGAAACCAGCCTTGCCCATGTTACTGGTTTGTGCTAGTCTTTGCTCAAAGATCTGCTTTGGGTTAACAGTTACATGATCCCCTTGAGCCAAGAGAATTAGGCAATTGGCCATGTCCTCTTCTTCCTCAGTACTCTCATAGATCTCACCAGAAGTTGTGGGTGATGTAAACGAATTACCATAATAGTTATACTCATGATCTCCTCCCATAGCACCACCACCACCACAGGCGCTTGATGAGCTAGACGTCCCCGTAGCCACGACGCCGTTCGGGGACAGAGGCCTTGGGCGCTTGGTGCGCTTGCCTTTGATCATGATCGCCTGGGATGCTTGATCACTGCTCAAAACCAATTCTTCTTGGCCTTCCATACTCGCAGACCAAAACCCAGAACTTGATTCTGACCAAGAGCTTAGCTTAGAGAAAGAAATAAAGAAAGAGAGAAGTGTTTGATGAAAGAAATGAAAGGTGTTTGATGAGAAGTAAGAAAGGCAAAGGCTGAGAGAGAGAGAGAGAGAGGGAGAGAGAGAGAGAGAGAGAGAGCAATGAAGGGAAGCAAGGAAAGAAGAGTGAGTGTGGTTGGTATATATAGTGAATGGTAAGAAAGTTTTGTGGGGTCAAAAGCCGCCCCTCCGCTCACAGTTAACCATAAATTAGTCTGCCACCAAAATCTTCCTTGCGTTTCCAACCTTCGAAGTGTTACTACCAAGAAAAGTTTGTTCTACTTTCACGCGAATATATTGTACGTCAACATTTATTTCAATTGGAGTCATGTGTTATCTCCTCTAGCATCATGAGAGGGCTAGAGAGGAAAAGGGGGAGACATATTTTTACTCACTATATTTTTTTACCACATATCATATAGAAGTCATCAGATCTATATGAACAAGACTCGTTTAACGTAATCAGGTTAAAGTAAATAGTAAATATGGTAAATGTAGAATATACTACTCTGCCAAGTATTAAAAGGGTAGATAGATTTTTTAATGATTAGGTGCTTGGTTTGTTGTTTTGTAGCTAAACTAAAAGAGATGACTCGTTGGAGTGCATGGCAAAAAGGTTTGCTTTCTATTATTGTTTACACAATAATCCTATTGTAGAGTGTTAATATAGTTTGTTGTAGTGTAATGATATGATTGTAGAGAGAGAGAGAGAGAGAGAGAGAGAGAGAGAGAGAAAGAGAGAGGAAATGAAAATTAGAAAATCAGAAAATCAGAAAATTAGAATGGAAACAGTTCAAGAATGGTTGGTACAAACGTTTGGAGTCGGTTTCACACTCTCTTTCTCACATAGTAAGCCAACAAAAGTCACGAATAAACACACCCATTAAAGCAAAGGAGAATTGCACGTTAAAAGCATGGCTACACCTCATTCACTTCATGTCCTCTTAAAGAAAAGTACCACTACTTCTAATCTATTGAGTAATGGGAGGAGATTCGGGTGGCTTTCAAGCAAACCCGCTACAACTTTTTTTCTGTCAACTATTCTTTCTTTCTTTGCTCACCTGCTCTCTCTCTCATCTAAAGCTCGTGCCAATAAGCTCTCTCTAAGCATATGTTTGGGTTTGCAGGGCACCAATTAAGCCACCACAGTGCCCAGCCTAGCAAGCAAAAGAAAGGAACATCATTCAAGCACTGTGAACAAGTCAAGTAGGCTTTGGTTAAGTGATAAGTAGGGTATGTTTACCATACAATACAAGTATATATGCACACGGGCATTTGGTGACTAATTATCCTCATCATCATCTTGTTTAAAAGCAATTTGACACTTGCAGCTAATTAATTTGTGATGCCTCGACTTTAACCGTATTTTAGCATTTATTCTGATGCCATACTATAAAGCGAAGTCAAAATTTGCTAATTTAGTAAATTCAATACATTAATAATGCCAAATACATCATAACGGAGACTAATTAAGCATCCCATGCCAAATTCGGTTGACCTAACTCGTTATTTTTATCTTGCACAAGATCATGGGCATCTTCGTTACCATTTTCGTTATCGTCTAAACTTTTTTACACATTAATTAGTAGTCGTATATCATTAATCTTCAAATCCATCGAATTTTTAACTTTTTTTAAGGTTGAAGTAATCATTCAATTTATATATATATATATATATTTCTCTCTCTCTATCAATTTCCCAATATAGTTTCACGCATGAAACTATTAAACCGAAAATAGGATGAAATGCGTGCAAAGTAAATTAAGAGTGGCCCATTTTAAGGGCAAATTAGTGAAAAAACCTTTTATTATTCATCGATAATATTGTACACGAGTTCCTCTATTTATTCAGATCATGAAAAAATAGATAGTGCTATATTGACTTATTAATTTGTTAGCGCTTTTAATGCCGCGCTACATATCCACGTATATAAACACTATAAGTTGAAATTTGTTAATTGCTTTGCGAATGCGATCGTTGGGCGGGAAAGAGAGAGCTTGAGAAGAAGTGGAGTGAGTTAGTCGGCATTAAAAAACAGAGATGGACCAACATTTAAAAAGGAAATGTGGGAGCTATTTCGCTATAAAACTCGGTTGCCTTTGCAACTTACAACCTCGAAGTATCTATTTTTCGGTTTTTTTTTTTCTAAAAAAAAAAAAAAGGAAAAAGAAAATTCGAGGCCATGTTGACGGGGCACCCATTGCACACTGATTGAGACTCAGTGTATTGACTTTTAAATGGTTTTCTTATAAAATTATTCATTCAAACTTCTAAAATCAAAATGTAAAGGAAAGTCTCAGAATAACTAATGAAGTTTTAGGTAACTTCTTCACGACTTCATCATCCAGTGTGGTTCATGTACCGTTGACCAACTTTTTTTTTTTTTTCCTAAGCAGCCACCCATTCATCATCTGCTACATTATTTGTTTGGTGTGCATTATTCTTTCCCATTTGTTTTTCCCCCAATCACTAGAGTGCATTCATTTTAGATCCATGTATTTTTAAATTTAACTAGAAGAATGATACGTTAACTGTGAAATATAGTTTTGGCGTATGTGATTTTTTTGAGTATAGGCGATAGTTTAAATTAAAGGGAAGTGGGTTTCTCTCACACACACAACTGATGACATGGGGGTTCGAGCTTAAGACCTCTGGTCAGTAAATTAAGAACCTTTTTCATTGGGCTATAAGTCCACAAGTCGTGTATGTACATACGTACCGTCTTTACAAAAATTATGAAATTTATTTTGTCGCAGTTAGATGTCTGAATAATTTTATATTGGTTCATTTTGATTCTTTTTGTAATAGAGACCTTTCAATGACTAATTTTCTAAGTGGATAAATCATAATTCGCAGTAGCTCCACAAAGAATCTGTATTAATGAAGATTAAAAAAGAAAAGAAAAAGGTATAGTAAATAAAAGGATGAATTATATATTATAATTAAAAATCAGGGCATCAGTTATCAGTGTGAAACACTTCCAGTTGGAGCAGTGGAATAAAGAATCTATCTAACCGACAAGCGCCATTAACGGATTTAAGCATATGCCTTTCTTCCTCTGTAACGAAGCATGCACGAACCTCTTTGCACTCAGAATAACAAAATTAAGATCGTGGCTTGTAACAACATATATTCGAATTTTGTTGTTTTTTCTTGGACTTTTATTTTATTTTCTATTTGTGTGTAAGATCAACTAAGGATCCATGGCCACATGATCAAAGACGTGGGTGCACCTATTCCTACGGCACAAGCCATCCTCTTCAAAAGTCCATATTAGGTTTTGGATCTATCCCCTTGGTTACGTGGGAAAAAAGCATAAATCATAGACCCTTCTGTTCGTCAAACTATCAAGTTGATAAATCATAGACCCAAAAAAAACATATGCATACAAGGAGATGCTCATTGCAGATGAAATCTAAATTAAGTAAGAAGAGAGGAGAGCAGTGGGACGACATTGAGGAGGCAAAGGAAGGCAGATATTCTTGGCGTAACAGATGAATGTGTGGTTATTAGTCGTGTGAGGCACGTAAGTGAAGTAGTAGAAGTAGTGTGTGATGCTGCTAAGTGCTGCTGCTGTTGCTGTTGCTGTTGCTTATAAAGCATAAAGTATAAGGGTATGTGGTGTACCAAAAATATAAGATATTCTTCTTCTTCTTTGTGCGTATCTGTACTCGGATTAATTCAGAAAAAAAGATTTCGGCAAAAGAGGGAATATTGGAGGAGAATAATGCCTATGGTCCTATGCCTGAAATTTGCAATAATAATCCCATCATTTATCAGAGACGCAGAAAATCACTTTGACTACAACTTTACTCTTTTTCTTTAGAATCTCATTAGTCATTAAGCTTCTTTTTCTTACCTAAGCACAACACTCAAGCAATTTATAACCCTATTATATAGTGTAAAATACGTCCATATCTTGCATTATAAGGCATGTTTGGGGTCCTAACTTATATGTAAAGCCGAGGTATACTTTTTTCAATTGTATAACTCAACTAGCTCTCGATCACTTAACAAAAGGGAAACTTCTAACTCAAGTGGTAAAACATGTACTCTCGTATATTGAAGGTAAAGGGTAAAAGGCTAAACTCTTATCCTCTTCATTCATGAATAAATAAATAAATTGTTCGAGTGTGACATATTCAATTTATATTATTTTTGGTACAAATATTCAATTTATATATAGTTTCTGAACATGCCATAAGGCATTTCGAAATTTTCAGAATTTCATAAAAGCATTTTGATTCTGATTCCAAAATTCAAAAAAGAAATGGAAGACATTCATTGCCCAAATTTGTTTATAAAAAAAAAAACATTTTCAGGTTGAATTTCCCTAACCATGTGTATTGAAAAGGTACCATATCATAATCTCCACGCAAAAAGTATCAGAAAAAAGAGCTAATAAGCTCTAGTTTGAGTGGTCAAAGAAAGCTCCCTCAGAAAATATAAATAAGAATAATATTAGCATGGGACAAATTTATCCTAATTTATACTTGGTGATTGTAACTTGTTGTGCACGTTGTTTGGAGTTGGATGGAGAAAGTGGGGACCCTAAGCTATATATAAGCCAATTCATATATAGTTTTGTGAATTGAGTGCTTTACTTAGTCTCTGGGGTTGGAGGCTTGAAACTCACTCCACTTTTTTCCACAGTTGAGATGTCACTGCTTGGGGAGAGAGTGAGAAGCTTGTGACTTGTGAGCCACTCATCGTCATGAGAGCTAAGTGTTTTGCAACCAAGCTCGTCCTCATAAAATAATCAAAAGCTAACAAACCACGCTAGATCTGCTTTTTTTGGTAGTTTTTTTTTTTCTTTCTTTCTTGGTTGTCAGTGAACTGACTAACTGTCTTTGCAATTTGAAAATTATTATTAAAGATAATGCAAACAAAGTGATGCCTGAAGTCTTCATGATATTTTGGTAGGTAGTACACCATGCTTGGACACTGACAGACTAAGCAAACCACATACACTACTTCTTTGAATTTACTTCAATTTTATTTTTTGTGTGGTAAGAGTAATGCCAAAGGTATGTGTATTTACTAGCATTAAAATAAGAATTGACAGAAAATGTACTAATATACATATCAACTGTTTCGCAAGAGAACAA